TGTAAAATGGGATTGAAAAAAACTGGTCCAAATTGCCGGACTCTCCCTTATTAGATAGTAAGTAGGATTTCTGGAAATTCTTATTAGTAGGTAATCTACGCAACTTTTGATACAATCCTGAACATATATCACTTTTTACGTATGTTTAGAGCTAGGAAACGATCCAGTATCATTCTATGAAGAAGTACCAGAAATGTTTCGAAAATTGATAAGACCATTCCAAACTGCTGAAATGGCTCGTTAAACAGATTTCATGCTAAAATTACGGTTCATAAAATCATGATGGTAATATTATAACATAAGAACGTGATATCAGTTTTATTGTTTTGTTAGGAGTGGGGTTATAATAATTTTATTACTGTAAACTGACCCACCCAAATATGGCGACCAGGCTGACCTGCGATAAAGTACAAAGTATTAAACTACATATTTGTTGATGTATCGCCCTTTGTTACTTAATGAATTTTAAGTACGATACGGCGACTTCGGTTACAAAATATACTGGTGCTCATCACATAACTCGTTTATTTGTCCCATTCACGACTCGAACCCGCATCGTAGCTGGTATCAGTGTAGGTAGGTATACGAGTAGTCCCGTATGCGAAGTCCATTCAATCTCCTTGGCATATTTTAACTTGATTCACTCGATATTTTACCGAGAACTTTATCGCATGCCCCTATCGCGAAATATCGAGTTCCTAGAAAGAAAGTCCCACTTTTAAAGTCACAGAAAATACTAGAAAATCTAGTTTCCACTAATTGAAATGTCGAACCATCACTGATAGCGCCATCTTGCGGGCGAGTGGCGTTCGACTGAGCTATTTTAGGCTAAGGTCACAAACTAGACTGAGTTCGGAGTTGTTTATTATTTATGTTCTATTTTCGAATGTAATAGAAGCTCTAAATTACTAATGGAATTGATCGTGGAGGTTGATTGTAATACAATTCGGCAGGTGACATACTCGTAGGTAGAAAAACATGAGTCTAATTTTTCCACCATTTTATAGTAGACTAGCTTTCCGCCCGCGGCTTCGCGCGCGTTGACTACATTATTTACATATTTTACGGAACCCTATTTTTTTCCAAAATAAAATTTAGCCTATATTACTCGTGTATAATGTAGCTTTCGAATGGTGAAAGAATTTTTAAAAACGGTTCAGTAGTTTTTGAGCCTATTCATTAAGTACAACCAAACAAACAAACAAACAAAGTTTGTCTCTTTATAATAATAATAATATTAATAATATAATAATATTAGTGTAGATAGAAAGTTTGGTTTGAACTAACGACTAAGAAGGTTAAGGTATCAATTTCTAATTGAGGCAGTCTATTTTTTTAATAAAGATACTAAAGAAAAGATATTGTAAACCGGGGGACCTTCAGCCGGGGGAATAAAATTGACGTTGACTTGATGTGACATACCTACAGCGACGATTATAGGTAGTAAAAAAGGCAGTAGCGAGTGTAGTCTTAGCTTTAGAACAGATGCGCTACCGATTCGTTGCGAATGGTTTTTATTTCGAGCCACGGGGAACTCGATAAGGTTTGTTTGACCTGTCGGTGAACAGTCGGTGTCTTTATAGTTACTAAAGGTTACTTTTACTAGGCATTTATTCCTTTGTTGCATTATTATTCCTTACTTTGGGCAAGTCTCTGAAACAAAACAACACCTTGCCACAGATTTCATATGTTTAGTGATAATTTATATCCTGAAAAGGAAGCACTTGGCAATTTGGCATGTGCACAGCTTAGGATTGACCGTTGTGGAAATATTTGGAGGAGACCTTTGTCCAGCAGTTGACGAATGTCTCTCCTAAATCCATAGTGCAAGCAAAATGTTGTATCCCAATAGTTTATGCACTATACACACTTTAAAAGAGTTTCTTTACACCCCAATATACACCTGTTAATATTAGGACAGTCCATATAATTGGAGGCTCTGCCAAAACCAGTGTTCCGCCCCAGTTAACGATACTGAAACGCGGCCGTGTCGGTACAATGCAGCAGATTGGTTCTGTTTGCTTCCCTTAAAAAAAGCTTAAGCTAAAGCTTCCATTAAATTTTGCACTATTGGGATGATAGAATAGTACCTATCAGTGAGTTTAATAGGGGATTTAGTAAAATAGAGAGAGAATGGTTTAAGATCTAATAAAACGCAATGTTATTAAACACCAGAGTCATAGTTCGGTAGAGAACATAGTTAGCAAAAACATATTTTGATACCAGCGGGATTTCCGAAAACACAATGAGGGCAGGATGGCAGAAAAGTATTTAAAGGTTAATAAATGTAAAAAGCATTCAACCAGATAGCCGCTCTAACTATATGTAATGGTACGGTTACTATATTTCTAAAAACTATTAATTTACGTTAAACAAACACATCAAGTTCAGCATTGTTGCATCTTATGTAATTTCAATAACTGCTATTTTACTTAAGAAACATTATGACAGCTGTTCTAAAAATAAAAACAGATCAACTCGCGCTCCTCATTACCAAGGATCCTAATTCATAACTACAAGGACGAATAAAAATATGGAACCTCCAGAATCCAGGAGGGTTTATAAAATAAAACACCAGTGTTATAGCTGAGATTGCTTCCAAAACACGGGAGGAGGGTTTAATTAACTTTTCCTAAATTTGTCAGCCCTCCAAAGAGGAGCATCCTTCAATCCTCCAGGTGTGTGTTACGACCTGCCCCAAATATTACCCTTTTGAATTTTTAAACCTGCACCGGATTTTATAATTTGGCTTTTGGAAATTACTCCGGTTATGATCACTGACATTTGAGAATGACGTTTTCATATTTTCATTTGATAACTATTGGGAATTTGCGACTTTCAGTTAATAACTGCAACTATTTATTATTATAATAATGCAGATAAATTGTATATCTACAAGTAAGTTAGTAATCCCATCAAAAACAATACTTGTCAAAAAAACCAAGTCTCGCAACTCAGTTGTTCTACGGTAAAAAGTTGTGAGATCCATGTAATACCAAGTCCAGGCCAGGAAATCTTTAACGTTTTACATAAATTATTGACTTGGCCATCGCACTAAATAATTTAATTTACACGTGTTTTCATGCGATGGCGATATATTTATGTAAAACGTTAAAGATTTCCTGGCCTGGACTTGGTATTACATGGATCTCACAACTTTTTACCGTAGAACAACTGAGTTGCGAGACTTGGTTTTTTTGACAAGTATTGTTTTTGATGGGATCTCATTTCTTTTTGTATTTTGTAGACAGCAGTTATGTATCTAGAAAACTGGACCGAAATTGAAAAATTTTACTCGACTTGGCGGTTGCACTACCGTGCCCCCAAATATTTTAGTTTTTCCTTGATTCATACACCAAACACTACTTATATTCCAAATTTGAAGCTTCTAGGTCTGCTAGAAGTGCCTTAGAGTTTTGATGATCGGTGAGTCAGTGAGTGAGTCAGTGAGTGAGTCAGTGAGTGACAAAATTAAGTAACTTTGACCCGTTATAATTCTTAAACTACTGGTTCAAATTGAATGAAATTTTAAATATACCGTGTCTTTACAATGCCTGCATAGCTAATGAAAATTCAGCCTTCTAGTTTTATCCACAACGAAGTTACAGGCGGTCGAAAATGGCCTGAATTGCTTCGAGAAAAGGATGGTACGGCCGTGCCGCTTTTAGGCATTTAACCCGGCAGGTTAATTTTGGGTTAACTCTTATGTAAAAGCAAAATGAACCTTAATATTTTCATATCGAATTAACTGAATGTTTCTTATCGTCGTAGTACACGTTATAAAAGGTACTCGTACATAACAAAATGTTTCAAACTTTATACAAATTATCAACTTTAACTGACCCTTTCTTACGTCGATCATGGTATGATTAATAAATCGCCATCGATTGTTGTGGCCCGTTGCTATGGCTGCGGGCAAGTTAGCCTTGACGTGTATGAACTGGAGGGTGTGTGGTACAGTCGCGAGCACTGACATGTATAAAATGCGTAATTTATGCCGCTGTAATAACGTCTAAATTCCTATGAAAATATATGTATATTTTTGTACCTTTTGTGGTGGGTGGTGTAATTTATATTGTATGACATGAACCCAATCGAACGTGTAACATAATCTGATATTCAAAAGAGAAAATGTTCCATAATTACTTTTCCAAAATATAATGTAAAAGAAACCGCCGACTGAATTTACGTATAAGATTTTATTTGACAACGTGGAGTACGTTATTGAATGTTTCGAAGTCTAATTTTGTGTATACGAACATGAAAGATTTTTCCTTATTCTTATTACGAGATAGGCGTCAAACCTTACTTTAATTGAATTTGATTTTGAATTAATTATAATCTTAGAACATTCTTATAAGCTGCCTGCAGAAGATAGAGTTAAGAGTTCTCATTATGTACGTCGCTGCACCGATGATGGTGGTCAGTCCTAAATAAATAAATAAATAAATAAATATCCTTGGACATTTAACATTTAACAATAAAATAAAAATTCTACCAGTTCGACTTTCCGTTCAGAAAAAAACAATTCATGAAAGAAAGCACAACATTAAAGTTATATACGAAACTAGAGACGAACTAATTAAAAAGTTTTAAGCTGGCTTACATATTCTTAATGCATTATTCATGTTACGTCGTAGTCCTTCGTAGTTCTGTTACAGAATTCTTTTCTTTAATAGACTTTGAAACTTTTCTACTTCCTAAGAGTCAAACGCACGTATTCACAAATGATGCTTGCTTAAGTGAAGCAGCAAATAGAACGTACAGCAGCGTTGAATAGAGCTTTGTGATTGGTTCATGTGTCAACCTGTGCGCACTGTGAGACCTCATAGTAATGTTTGTGAATTCGGGCGAAAGTCGTTTCATGCACGCCAAATCATCCGTAGCGTTTGCGTAACTGTAACGTCGTAGCGTTGTAGTCCTTTACGTGATTGTAACGCCCTAGCATCGTAGTCCTGCTACGAAAAATTACAAGAACATAAACCTAAAGTAATACTCACTAAGTGCGATATTCGCTTGCTTGTTTCGGTCTAGCTGGCCCCGTAGCGCGCGTAGCCGCCGTAGCTTCAACTCCTGCGCTTCTACGCGTTCTCGTAGCCGCCTTAATCGCTCGCCTTCCACTGCCACCTGTAGCAAAATGAATATAATGTAAGGACACTAATCGAATAATGTATGTAATATAATGTAGCATTTTAAATGTCGAAGAAAACGCGCGATTGTGATTTTTTTTTCTTATCTGATTTTAAACGGAAAATACAATTTATTTCTGAAGAATCATTTATATCAAGTTATAAGTAATAAGTTTGCTCCTATTTTATTGTTTTGAGTTTAGCTGTGGACAAATTACCTAACAGGTAAAATAGAAATACAGAAGTAATTTCTATACTTACCCCTTTACCCATAAAACTTACACACTCGTTGAACAGTGTTTAAAGGGACATTTACTTGTAGTATGGAAATTTCATTTTAAATCAGTGTTCAACAAGTGTGTAACTTTTTATTAGTAAGGGAGCTAATGTTAATGTTGTTTGTAGTACAAGCAAATACGAGATTTACTATTTAAGACAGTATTCCTCATGAGAATCCCTCGAGAATCTAGATCTAGCTAAAATCTAGACTAAAACTAACAATTGCGAGGCCACTCGGACGCTAGAACCTTCGATTAAACAAGCTTTGTGCTGCACAAACAAACGCAGCGTCGTTTAGTTGCACATTCGATTCCTGCATCGTTCACTGTTGCAAAGAGCTGGTGTAAATACCAGCTCTTTGCAACTCACCCACTCAACTCATCCCACTCGGTTGTTGAAGACTAGTTTAATCTAGCTGTACAGTACAAACTATAGGTAATGTACTGTAAATTATACTTTAACAAACTAAAAACTCGCTTTTGGTTATTGCATTTAAAGGCTCTAGCACTAAAGTGCTCGAAAAACAAATCCAATAAACTCAAATTCGATACGATTCCGCAGTTTCGTTTAGGAGTTCCACCTTCCAGTTCCTTCATCAGACCAGCTCGATAGTACCATAGTATTATATTGTCATATAATCTACATACAATTGCCAAGTTTCATTATGATACAAGAATTAGAAGTGAGTGTAATAATTCAGATTCTTAGATTCAACTAACTATTAGATTACACACACGACGACTTAATAAAAGCGATTTTATAGCTCACTGCTTTGCATAAAGATTTTTTAATATTATAGCAGAAACCCTTTCATTCGTTACATTACACGATAATTTTCATGTTTCCAAGTGAATGTGCAAAATTTAATCTTTCTACACACAGCGCGTAAGCCTTCAGGTCACCGAACGTAACCTGTGTACTCAAGTCTCGTTAGGTTCGTATTACACGCTCAAAACTCGATTAAATTTCACCCATCATTATCATCATTTCAGCAACAGGACGTCCACTGCTGAACATAGGCCTCCCCCAATGTTTTCCACATCGCCCGGTTGGTAGCGGCCTGCATCCAGCGCCGTCCTACTCTGCGTTTTCGGTTTTAATTTCTACCAAAGATCCTCCCTAAACTGGTAAAATTATTGGAATTCCACAAAGCTTATGCCTGAGATTGAATCGTAATTTAATCATTATTGTCTATTACCGACCATAGATAGACATCAGCAGAGTGTGAGTTTATACCAAATGTCCTCTCTAGTGAGCAGTTCTTGAAAGTTTCTGCTAGGAGCGCTATACGATCCGTCATACATTTAATGAATTTTTTTTTACGCGCTCACTAGTGACGACGTTTGATGTACTCACACTCAGCCCTCTGATAATATCAGTGATGTTATTTATTTTATTCACTTGTAGAGAACCCAAGAAATAAATAGTAGATTATTAGATAAAAGAAAACTTAACATTTAACCAAGCCTTCCAAGCCGACGCCGTCTGAATCGACAAAAAGCCGCCAAACAAGGTTTGTCACGGAGCAGCCTGCGGAATTCTTAAGAGAAATTGTAAGCAGATAAGAAAGGAAAAAATTAAATTTCCCCGTTTGTGGTAAAGCCTTTGTCACACTGAAAGAGATGGACCAAATAAATACGACTATTATGAATCAAAGTCGTATAATCCAATATGAATCGTTTTTATTGTTATGATATTATTCACACCCAATGTTGATAATTTGCTGGAAAACTCAGTAACTTCAGTACTCAGTCTTGTACTGATTACAAAGAATTCGTATTTTGGAGATCATTAAGTTAACTAAAGCCGAATCTTATCCTTAAGCGGCTCATCATTAGATATAAATCAGTTTTGTCTGTTCAGCAAGAGATTTCATATTTTCAAATTCCTTTATCCTGAGTGTCACAGCCTAAATTAAAGAAGTTATGTAAGTTTTCATCGCTCCGCATATCTTCAGCGGTGGTTCACAGCCTTTACCCCGAGGATAGGCGTCGAGCCAGGGCCACCTAATGCGATATTTATCGCCAGCCCGAAAGGAACGAACTGGCCTCTTAATAAATAGGCCATAAAATAAACACAACAGCCAATCTCCGTGTTATTAAGATTTAATTTTTCGAGAGTAATTCGCAGCGGAAGCGGATTATTTTGATTTATTTACGCGACCTTTTTCCAAGAATAATATGTAGCCTGGGATCTGATTATAATTTATTTCAGGACTAATCCAGGGGCGGGATAAAAGCTGAATATTTTTATCAGACAGCGTCCTATGTCTGCTCGAATGAAAATTGGGATTAATTAACATTATTTTGGAGAAGCGAAGTGTTTTGAAAGTCAATTGTTTTGTGAAATATTCATAAAATACAATAAACACTCGTAGTGGGCTTGAAATTCGGTCTTCTATTCAACATACGGGTTACATTCACAAGCGGTTTTGTTCTTCTAATTTTTTGTTTTTAATTTTGTTAATTTGAAGGAGATTATCTGTAGATTCCTACTCTGATAATTAAAAAGTAGTTAAATATTTTAAAGTATACACACAAACACTGAGCTTTTTATTAAGTAAAAAAAGGTAAGAAAGTTAAAAAAAAGGATTATGAGGTATTAACACGTTTCAATAAAACTACTAATGTTTATGATAAACAAAGAATACCACAATAATAATTTGACAACAAACATTTTGGTTAAATTTTAAAACTGATTATTTAGACAAATTCATGGTTTCTTAGAAAATCATGGCGGTTTGGCTTGAATAGAACAAAAGAAATAAATTATGAAGCGAACCATTTTCGTTGTAGCCGCAACAAAACTAGAGATGTCTGAGTATTGATATCGATAGATTAGACGAACTAAATAAAATCTGAACTTAAGATTTTTCAGCAAAATTGGACAGCCCAGAGGGTAAACAAGGTAGAATAACAATTTGATGGGACATAGATAAATGAACTATGCACATTATTAATTACTCTAATCTCAAATAATCACAATCCATGAGTCTGTCTGTTACTCGTGCTTATCATGCTATTATTTTATGTAACTAACTATAACTGGTTACGGGACGAGACATTTTAGTTGATATTTAAAGTTTTTACTTATCGATATTCAGCTTTAGGTGGACAACACTAACGGCACAACTTTAATGAAATAAGGATTCCTGGGGCAACTGAAATATTCCGATCGAATGTGCTTTGATGTCCGTTCCTTTTGAATTAATTAGAGTTGTATCTCGTTAATTATTAAAATTATCGTACTGTTAAGCCTTAAGCCTATGTTACACTGGCGTGAATGTCACGCTATGTGTAAGCTACGTGATACTTGCGTACAGATTGTTAGATAGTCGGCGCCAATAGAGCGGAGAAATGATTTAAACTACCAATCAAATACCAAGTACCAAATAAATGTTTTTTCTTTCTTTCTTTCTTTCAATCAGATGTCATTCAGATGAAATCTGATTGGTTGTTTAAAACATTTCTCCGCTTCGCTCCGCTTTGGTGGAAACCGAGCCTTAGTTTTGTAAATGTAATTAATACTTATGATGAGAATAAGACACAAATACAAACTGAGCTGTCTTAATACCGTTCTTAATACATCAAAGCTTTTGCTCAAGCTTTGCAAAGCTTTATGTCAATGTTAATTGGCGTAACTTATAAGTTAAGTTTCTATCGCGTATTTAAGTTAATGCGCGTGCAAATTAGACGTAAAGGTAAGGTATTTTATTTAAACCGTTTCACTTTAAAGCTCTATATAATATTTTGCACTGGAGCTGCTTATTACCAAAGGCGATTACTTAAAATCTTTTTGTAATTCCAAACCAGGTTTTTCCCAATCTACATGCATAATAACGTTTCATCCACGGCCGTCTCTATTAAAACTACAAGCGAGAGTTGATCTTATAAATTAACAGCATAGCCTGTAAATTAATCATGGCACTATCATACTTAACGGTTACATCATAGAGTCGAGTTTTACTTGGCAAGTTTCAATTTTAGCTACAAATTGCAGTTTTGTCTATATAATTGGCTAGATTTCATCATCCTTCGAGGCTGGTGGAGGTTTTAGTAAATTCACAGCTCAGTTTACATTGGTAGTTCAAAATTAGCAGCAGTAAGAGCGAATTTGATATCGCACTCATGCTACATTTTCGTTGGAATACTTGTGGTTAATTACAATGAAGGAAACCAGTTTATTTTACAGGTTGACTACAAAATTAAATATTAGTCATTTACTCACTTTATTTTATTTTTTACGAAAAAAAATATTTGTAATCCTAAATTTAGTTTTTTTATCTGTAATCATATTAAAATTAGTCAATTGATTCGCCAACTAACGACGTTATACGTTTCCTTTGCTATACTAACAAATTCTATAGCGAGACACGTTTTGTAGCTAATATAGGCAATAGGGATGTTTCCTGGGTCAAAAAGCAAGAGTTTTAATTAGTCCGTCAGTTAACTTATCAAAAAATACTCTACACGTATTTTTCACTTTTTCAAACTAATGAAAATTTAAAGAGATAATGCGCGCCAAAGTTCATAAGAAGAGGCCCGTGACGTCAATGCGTGCATAAAAGTGCCGCACGTTGTGACGTCGTGCGGAACTTCAACGCACCATAACTATGTAATTATTTGTTAGATTGACAAATAAAAATATTATTATATGTGTCCAATATTTTTTGATATTAAACATGACGGACTAAAAAAATTTTTTTTGGAAACTAGCCTA